CTTCCTTCTAAAGGGACAAGAAACAAATCCAACGATCGTTCTCTCTTTTCTCGTTTCAGCAGCAAAAATTCGTAAAGAAGACAATCGAAGAGTTGTAAAGATAAGCAAAATATTAGAATATAAAATACTTCCATTCATGCCTGAAATCATTTCGAGTTAGCTAAGAAATTCGAAAAATTAGTTCAGCGATTCAAAGAGAAGCAAAAAAAAATTTCCTTCCCTCCTCCCCTCTGAAGGGACAAGAAACGAATCCAACGATCGTTCTCTCTTTTCTCGTTTCAGCAGCAAAAATTCGTAAAGAAGACAGTCGAAGAGTTGTAAAGATAAGCAAAATATTAGAATATAAAATACTTCCATTCATGCCTGAAATCATTTCGAGTTAGCTAAGAAATTCGAAAAATTAGTTCAGCGATTCAAAGAGAAGCAAAAAAAAATTTCCTTCCCTCCTCCCCTCTGATGGGACAAGAAACGAATCCAACGATCGTTCTCTCTTTTCTCGTTTCAGCAGCAAAAATTCGTGAAGAGGACGGCCGAGGAGTTGGAGCCAGCCGGCGGTGGTAGCGGAGACGGTGGCTTCGGCGAGCCCCCCGTGAAGCTGCAATGCACGCAGGCACAGCATCAGCACCAGCAGGGGCCGGGGGGCGGCGGCGGGGGCGGACCCCACCACGGGCACGGCCAGCACCCGGCCGGGANGACGGCCGCGTTCCAGGGGCAGCAGGCGAACGACATGTTCGTAGGATCTCAAACGCAGTTCGCCGCCGGCCTGGCGGACATGAAGAGACCGCAGCCGAGCAGCGGTGGGAAGCCGAGCATGCTCGGGCCGAGCGCCGGTTACAAGCAGCAGTATTCGCCGTACGGTAGCCCGGGATCGATGCCGAATCACGGCAGCCCTGGTTATCCGCTTCCGCCTAGGGGATCCCAGGGCGGCGGACCCAATCAGACCGGATCCCAGGGATCCTTCACCAGCTCCACGCCGCCGAGGCCTCCCTCGGGACCCGGCACATCCACTTTGCAAATCAACCAGGCGCAGCAGTTACATATTAACAATCCCGGCCATCAGATTCAGGTTAGTGGATCGCTTTTCCTTTCTTTCTTTCGCTCTCGTGCACCGGAGAGAGAATCAGAGTTGGTCGATTTTCTTCGATTTTACTCGGGAGAATTGAGAATTTAACGCGATTCGTATTTTGTTTCGTTTTCTTTTGTTGATAAGTCAACGTTCTCATATTCGTGATTTTATCATCGATTAACGGTAATTGCGCGACAAATGCTTTCGATAAATTGTTATTGTTCCTGAATACGCTCGATTATATTAAACGAAATTCGTAACCAATCGCGATTAATATTGTTTACAATATCGTTGTAACGATTATCGGTGTACAATAGCGAAATCGGATACCACCAGTGTATATACGCAACCGTATTGTCAAAAGTAACTTTTTTTTCATAGACAAAATTTCAATATACTTCGCGTTCAATTTTCATCGAATCGGATTACATCTTCATTCGCGATCCGATATAAAAGTAATCCAACGAAATTCGACATTCTCAGATTCTCGAAATACAAATTATCCTACCTACGTAAACGATTAAAAAAAAAGAGTTTACAAATATCAAAGTAGCCAAAATTACCCGAAAAATTACCGCAGACGAATCTCAAATCGCGCAACGATCTAAATTAAAAATATCGCACACCCAATAAAAACAACAGCAACAACAATAATAAAATAATAATAAAACAGATTGAGACGAAAAACGGAGTCAACGAAGTATCGCGCGCGCGCGCGCGCGTCAACCTCGGCCGAATGATATCTGTTGCGTCGCGACGACACGTCTATTTTTGTCGGCGGCATCACGAGTCGGTGGTGGCGACGTCGGTGGTGGTCGTGGTGGTGGTGGTGGTAGCGGTGATGGTGGTGGTAGCGACGTCGCCAGCGAAGGGGCGCGCGACGTTGTGCATCGGTAGTAATAGTAGGAGTAGTAGTAGTAGTAGTAGTAGTAATAGTAGTAGTAGTAGTAGTAGAAGTCGAGGAAAAGGGGGTACGTCGGCGTCACGAGGGCGGCCCGAAGCGCAACAAGTAGTCTACCCCCACCGTTTCCCTCTTTATAAATTTTCCCCCTCGCCATTTACCCCCACCCTCGGGCGGCGGGGGAGGGAGGGTTGCATGGCCGCGCGCAGCCGACGTCGCGACGCCACCACCGTCTGCTCGATTTAAGCTGCGCCTGCAATCCGCGTCAATACGCACCGCGGCTGGTAGTCGCGAGAGTGCACGCGACGGGCGAGCTCGTATGATTTTTTGCTTACGGGGAATTTTTTTTTTTTTTTTTTTAAAGAAGATTCTTTGAAAGAATGATCCTCTCGATCCGCGAATCGATGAAATATGGGATTGAAAATTAAAATGTTTTCGTATTTACGAATTTATTTTATCGATCGATAATCATTTTATTTCCGTCGAACGAGCGTCGAATGAATTATTTAAGGGGATTAGAAGAGAATGGGGATGGGGAGGAGATCGGGAGATTCGTTAAAATCAATGATGGGCCGATGCGGTTGAAGGAATATTTGTGGGGATGTAAAATCTACGTTACCCTATATTTTATTACCGCAAAGGGGAAAAAAGGAATTGTGATATTGCCTGTATAAATCTTCCGTCCAACGAGATCTTCGCTCTCGAGACTGTTCGCGTTTCTGTTGCTAGTCTAAGACCTCTGCAGGTGGTCCTGGATCCTTTTTACGCGCTAATAGATTTATTTTATTGATCCATTGCGGGGACTACTCGAAGCGAAATAGTTACTTTACGAGCGTGGAATTTTTAAAAAATTTTTAAACAACTTCGTCATTCGGTTCGAAACGTATACGAGATAAATGGACAAATAACGATTCTCGTGAGTTTTTTTTTTTTTTTTAGAAAAGAATTCGCATTGAAATAATTGAAATAAT